ACGGAATGAGAAGCGCGTACCTTCTATGGAAAGAGAGTTTGAAGAGGATAATATCAATAGAAAACACAATTCAAAACGAGGAAAAGCTAAGGAAAAGCACAAAAACGATCATAAAAAGTAACGGAATGACTAATGTACAGAGGTGAAGAGAACAATAGCTCATAGATATCACAGGTAACATCGAATCGAGAAGTAACAACGGAAAAACACATCAACTGGGAAAATGGAGCACTGAGTCTCATTGGTTTTAAAGGAACTTTAGTTTTGAAGAACGGAATGAGAAGCGCGTACCTTCTATGGTATAAGCATGGTAGTGCGAATCAGAAGGGGATGAACATGAATAGAATACACTACTAACCACTATGAAAAGCTAAGGAAAATCCAGAAAAAAGTTCGAAAAAAGATGAGAAGTTTTCCAATTTTTCCAGATTTTTATTGGTCCCCACACGACGGGAACACTTAAAAATTCAAAAAAATGCGACATTGAGTGTCACAGATTTCCATCCCGCCAGGGACCTAGCCACGTGTGGCCATCAAATGTGAAACTCCGCGCCGTACATCGTACGACGTGTGAAATCTTTCTTCACAACATTGGATATTGAGGTACAACGAGTAAACAAGATTAGAAGTCCAAAACAATGAGCAAACATACACAGAAATTTCAAAACAGACAAATCAAACGACCTCTCTCCAACCTTGCACAAGTCAGAATGAAGTGACAAAGACTCCGCCCAAAACCAAAATACATACATCGAACTACGAACAGATTTATCGCATCAATAGATCAATACAAACAATTACAAAAACAAAGAAATCGATATCAATCAACAATTGAATTTTGGTCTAAACTTGGGTGACATCTTAACGAAGCGTTCCATGAATTGGCGAGGACCAATGTCATTAAAAATAACTATCGATTTACAAATCAGCACCTTCTCGCACTTTTCACCGAAACTCATGCCTTCACCAATCAGAGAAGTGTCTTCCGTAAGAGTGAACGTATTCAGAGGAAATTGACGCTGCAAAAGATTTTTTTATTCGATCATATTTCTCTTTCTCTTTCTGTAGCTCTGCACGGATACACCGAAGCACTGCACATGTAATTCTCTCTCTCCATTCTCTCTTCTTCACGTACCTCTAACCGATTGAACAACTCGGAATCTGTTTCCTGCTTGTTGAGGAATTGGAACATATGTACAAAACCGAACTAAAATGATTTTCATATCAATAATGGTGAACCTTTTTCTCTTACCTTTTTAATTATATCCTGGTCGTTAGTGGCAGGATTGCAATGCTCTCCTATTCTTTGAAACGAACATTTCAGATTAGCACAGAATTTTTCGTCCATGAATACATGAAAGGTATCCTGTGGGGTAGAAGAATGAAAAAGAACAACAAGAAGCAACAGTATGAACCGCGACATTACTCTCACTGAGGTAATTCACTCACTGCCAATGTGGAGGACGCTTGCCACGTTCCCTCCCATCGCTTGACCAATATGGTATCTTCTGGCAGGTCAGGTCATAGGCCACGAGTGTGGATGACCTGATGATCCTATCTACAACTAACAGAGGGTGAGACAAGGGTTCAACTGCGATGGCTGTTGAAACAAAATGATGAGAAGGAAGAACTGTATAAGTCAACATATCATATACAAAATATGAAAACATATCTGCTAGTTATGATATCCCATCTACTGTAACAACAGAAGTTACGTGAAAGACACAGAGGTACCAGTGACCACGATGAAGTTTGTAATCTGTTTTCTCTACGTTTTTACATCTCCTTTGTGTCTCTGATGCTCTGTTATAGGCCGTTGACGATGAAAACCCTACCTTTCATGTATTGGCGGACGAAAAGAAACAAAAGTAATGTAAATAAAAATTTATTTTTCAAGAAGGTTGGAAACGACGACATAGCGCTATGTACAATATGATAAATTCTGACTAATCAAATAACTTTTTTATTAAATAGAACAGAAATAATCTAATTAAAAGCTATCAATATACTTTTTAAATTACAATTGGCACCTGGAACGACGTAGAAAACAAGAAAGGTATTTGAACGCTTATCACAACGATGAAATATTGAGATCCAATGGACCGGCTGGAAGGAAATCTTTCGTTTGATTCGGATTATGAGACTTACGTTTTAACAATAACTTGGAGGGCTTATCTTGCTGATTGTTGTTCATATGTAAGAAAATCTGAGGTCTGTTCTCTTCATCTGTTGATGAGGATGAAGTCATCGCCGACGAAGATGATGTCAGAGTTGATGAAACTAGGTTACCATTACATTCATCCAAATACTACATATAGATTATTAGTGAAGGAAGCAGGTAGAACCACTCACTTGTTCGGATTCTCGATCTATAGTTGAATTCAAAGTTTCTGGCACCGTGTTAGAGCGGGTTGGATAAGCCTAAAGAACAAGAATCATTCAACTCATTGAGGGATTTAACTATACCTCGTTGGTTTTCGAACAGTTCTCTTCAATAATTCCTCCTAGACGTTCATTGAGTGGGCTTGCCAGACTAGTCACTAAAAAGAAACAAATGATTTTGAAAGTGAAGTGATAGGACGTTCAGAACTCTGTTTCGCCCAGCGACAATATGTTCACAACTAATGGAGAAAGAATTGAAAAACGACAGACATGCTACTGACAACGTTCCTATAATCCCAGTTGGCATGCTTCAATCCCTGTTTGGAAGTGCAAAACAACACGAAAGCTTTAGCAAGTAAAGGCATGCAAGTTATGAGCCTAGCGATACTCGATTTCACATATTCTTTTTACAATTGAAAACCGGCAGGATGTTGAGGTTCAGACGGTGAAAACAATAATTATCACTCTGGCAAGGCGCACAACTGAAGTGGGAGAGAAAAACCTACATTTTCCGTTATATAACGGTTTCAGATTAAGAAAAGTGGGTCGAACTGAAAAAGGACAAGGTTTTAGCTTTCTGTAGCTCGCAGCATTGGTGCGCTCGGCAAGTAAATTAAAGTGAGTAGTATGTATTCATTTGAAATTGTGTGAACAGTTTAGTGTTGTGTTCGTTTTTTCTTCGGTGTGCCATGGAAGCTTGTTAACCCCGTTTTCAAGCATTGAAAGAATAAGAATAAACCAAGGAAAGTGAGAAGTGATAGTTGATTTGCCTAATATCTAGAGTGCTAAGCTCTATATCGTAAAGAAGCAGAAATGATTTCGGCAGCCAGAAGGCTATGACTGGTCATGCGATAGCCGCATTTTCAAGAAAATAAAATCGTGAAAGTGTTATTCAGAATCAGAATCTGCTGTGTTACTGTCGATTTAATGATGATTCGTGATGATGAGATGTATGCGGAAATCGAAGTTTGCTATTCAGAAAGCATACCTAATGAAGAGTTTGTACTCATACTCATTGGAGTGTCGCCCGGCCTCCTGCCCGAATTCTCAGTCATCATTGAAGTTCCCATCCTGTTAGGGACATTAGCCGAAGGAGGTACTGGTGGACAGCTTGGCTGAAAACGAGTTAATGAATGAGGAAATTGCATCTTTGGAGCCTAATGGTGTCTACAAAACTAACTGAAATAGCACTAGTATTTGGTAAGCTGACCGCTCTTTTCATTCGAAAACCCTGAGAGGGTATACCCAAGTGAGACAAACGCTGTAATCTATCTTTCCTGAAACATTATGAGTAGCTTCCAGATAATGAGATCTCTAGATTACTTGCTGAGCATATTAGTTATTGCCACTTCTTGCCGTAACCTATCCAGTTTCAACATAGATTCAACAGCTTGAATGGACTTGGTGTAAGCCTCGATATAACTGAACGTAAATCATTAAACCCTTTTATGTTGCTGACCAAACCTTAATTGTTTGTTAGTGCGTTGTTCCACCTCGTTTTCATCATCACAAGAAGAAGTATGCTGAGCAGCCATTAAAGCCAATGATGATCTCTCTTCCATATCATGGGATGACTGAAACAAACAGGATTAGATTCAAACAAACTATGAAACCATGCCTTTGGTATATGAGCAACAACGTCATAGTACACTGATGTCTTATGTAAAGATTCCGACCCCACTATTCGTTTGAAGATACGCTCAGTTAAACTCGTCTGAGAACAATATAGCTTTAGTGTGCTCTACTTGTTACGGGTTTCTTACTTTTTTATAGATATGTAGGCAGACCCGTTTTCTCAGAACGATTTCCATCGGACAAGGATGTGTTAATCGAACATTCACTTTGACTACTGCGTAGACTCTTTCGTTAGGATTAGTAGGTATGTTCAATGCGGGATGATCATGGATGGAGCTATCCCAGGAACAAGTTGCAGTACGCTGGAAAAATTGGATTACAACATGGAATCTGATCTAATGCTCACCTGATTTTCATCATAACTTAAAATTGGTAAAATAATCAAGGCACCTCCAACATGTTGTTTCGGTAAAATCGAATAAAGACCAGGAGCCTGAGGAGCTGCCTCATCGCTCGTTAATTCGCCAGTCATGTCATCAGAGTTCAAATCCAGAAACAGAACAGGAACGTGACGTTCAACGCCCTCAGGTGGTTCCCTAAAACAGAGAAATTGAATTTTTGAGAAGATCAAACGGCAGTACCAGTCTACTGGAGCTCCCGGGATTTCAGAGTTTGGTGGAGGAACAAACACAGCGGTACGTTCTTCAGTCAATGCTACCCATTGACCCATCAAACTATGTTCACGCTCTTTTTCCAATTCACTTTTGATCGGTTTAGAGGATAACTAAATATATTGATATAACTGTGATTGGAATAAGATGATCCTCACCGTATCCAGCTGTAACTCCAAATACTTCTGTCTGGTTTTCAAAGCATCTGACCATTGACACCGTAGTTTGTCCAAATCAGCTTCTTGATAACTATCTAAAGGCTTGTGAACATCGGCTTGACGAACACAAACGCATCCGATAGATACAGAAGTGATCGAATCTATTCCCAAGGGTAGTCCACCAACCGGAGGAACGTTCAAGCCAACAAGAAGTCTCCGCTGTTGACCTTGTTTGAGCTGATGAACTCCACCAGTTCCAACTTCTTGTTGTCGAACTTCAACTGGAGCCCATTGTCCATTATCCGATAACTCACGGAACTCAGCAAAAAGTTCTAATCGTCTGGACACTTCTGACCAACGAGCCTGAAGATGATTGTTATAATGAATGGATAGACTATTGAATTGTTACCTGTAAAGATTTACTCTTCTCCTCCGCATCCAGCTTTTGCTCGTAAACTGCATCGCAGTTTCTGTGACCCCATACTTCTATGGAAAGAGCATCTTCATGAACATATTCCAAGAACTCTTCTGTTACAACAACAGAAAAGTCTTTCGTATGCTCGAACTTGAATGCTGTTGAAGCTGTCTGATCATCAGCAGGCTGAGAAGTATCAAACACCGGAGCAACAACAAGCATTTCAGACAGATGGAAGAAAGAATACTGACAGAACACAAAGTGGGACAATGCTTCCGGTAATCCAGAGGCTCGCTTGATACGGACCTAAGCCAATATATTTTAGATTAGACATACTATGTCTTTCACTTACTCGGCAGGTTATCACTTTGCCCAGCAAGTTCTCTGGTTTTGTAATGTCATCCGTATCTAGAAGATAATCCTGACTATGATCACCAACGGGGTTAGCGATCCTATAGATTTGAACATGCAACCGTCCTGAGACTTCTCCCTGTTGGGAAATGATGGGAACTTGGTAATCAAGCTTCATGTCATGGAACAACACTTCCAGAAATACATTAGCCACACCAATCAAATTATGATGTTCCTAAAAACTCAATGTCAGAAGAGTTAGAAAAAAATTAATTACCTGGCTTTCAAAGAATGGATCAATCATCATGTTATCTTCTTGATCTGGCACTGATTTCATCGGTGAGCTTTCTGGAGAGCATATGGCAGAGTTATCATCATTGGCCACTCCATTTAGTTTATCGTTGAACATATCTCTCATATCAATCAGCTTGTTCTCTAATTGAGAAACAGACCAAACTTGACTACCACTCATTCCAACCCGACGAACAACAATGGCTGGTTCACAAACAAAGGCCCCGAACTTAAAAAATTACAGCTTTGAGGGTGAATTACTCAAGAAATCTCACTTGTATTCTACTAGGCCTTAGATTAGATGCAGGAATTTGTAAAGTAACATCATAGGTTGTTTGCCTCCTACTATTAGCCAACTCCTTACTGATCATGTTTGCCTCTCGAGCAAGAGCATTGGCTCGGATTATTTCGGATTTAAGCTTTTTCAACGACTCCGCGAACAATTCTTCTCTGAATTGATTACATCATCATAAGAAGCCGACCAGAACAACTTACTTTCTTTGAGCCCAGTAGAAGAATTTACTACGAACACTTTGCTTAGGATTAGTTGGGAAAGGGAAAGGAGGAAGTCCTGATCCAGGAGTTGCCAAAGGAGTTCCGGCAAAGCCGAAAGCAGGTGTCATTGGAGTAGACGGTGTGAAACTGAAATTCAGGATAAATGAAAGTTACTCGACTAGCCTATACCCTCCAGCTGTCAAGCTTTGAATGTATCTTTCGAATGCTTCATATTGTTGCTCCAAAGCTGCCTTCTTGTCCTCTTGATGTTTGAGAGTAACTTGCTCCATATACTGGTCAACCGCCGAAGAAATCGGGTTTGAGCCATCGCCGTTCACCTCATGCCAAGCATCATCGTAATCAAAAAGAACTCCATCATCCATCACAGATTGAGCCATCTGATCTAATTCCTGCAATGAAACAGATTTTAATTATGTAAAGCTGAAATACAATTGACCTTAGGGCAATTAACTTTGAAGAAGTGGTTCATCCCGATGAGTAGGCGGTTACCGTGACGGAGAAGAACTCGTTCAGTGATTTGTCTTCCGTTAACACATATTCTAAGTACCAGTAGTTCACTAACACGTCTGATGTTATTAAAATACCTGGCGTTTGGACTGAGTGGCTCTACATACATCCGTTGTCTTCCATTTTCTTCAGATATCGTTAGTTTAGCATGTTCACGCATCACACCCAATCCTCTAAGAACGATTGAGGTTCGTTCCAAGTCTTTCTTATCAACATCATCCATTGATGTTCCTAACCCAGAATCTTGACTAGTTTCGAAATCATCCAAGTTGCCAATTATTCCAGTGCCCTAAACTCAGCACAGTTCACCTTATATACTCGATCCAACTCACATTAATGTAATAAACCAAGAGCTCATTGAGAGAAGGATCAGCATTCAAGTTAACCAGATAGAATCTATCTTTTTCCACTTTAATTCCGCTAGACTCAATTGATATTCCTATATCTGCCAAATCACGTTGACGTTCCTGAATGCACATTTCAATTTGAGACTAAGTGATATGCACAACCTTATTGAGAGTGTCTGTTTCCTTCAATCGTTCCTCCCATGACTTGTTCATTTGGGCCACTAGCCTTTCACTTTCAGCAAGTCTTTCCCGTAGCTCTTCTGTCTCCTGAAACGAAGTAATTATTTTCTTGCTCATCATCATGTAATGTACCGTTTGCTCTTTCAAAGTTTGGCTTATCTGTAGTCGAAGAGTTTCTACTTCTTCTCGAAGCTCACGAATGACACGGGCATTAGGATCCTGGAACAACAACAATTGTTGACAAAAATTGAAACTTCCAACTACCTCATTAACAACAGCGTGGTTAACAATCTTCTTTGCTCGATCAGCATATCTTAAAGTGGATAACGTTTCTTCGTAATTATCAGCAGCAGGTGAGATAGTAGCGATCATCACTGTCCTCGAATTTCCACCCAAATTGTCCTTCAGCAGCCTTGAAAATAAATTTTGCATCAAGTACTGCTAGTGAGGATTAACCATGTCAAAACAGAATCTCGGTATGGAATGAATTTTTCTTTTTTGCCATTCGATCTTTCAGCCAAAGCAGATATTACCATTCCAAGTGTTGTTAATGATCTGAATGAGAAAAACATTCCAAAAAATATGTTTGGGAAAATAAGCTACTTGTTGATGTTTCCTCCTTCTTCAAGTCGTTTACCAATAGCTCCAGTTTTTCCAGCCCTTTCACTTCCAGCCAAATCAACTAAGGAAATTTTCGAAACTTTCTCTCCCGTAAACTAAAATACAATTTGAATGTATTCATGAGAAGTAAGACTTACATCACTAGTGTCATCTTTCAATATTTGGGTGATGGTTATGTTGAAAACAGCGTGTGAACGTGAACTTTCAGCATTCATGTTAGTAGCCGCAACAGTACGGGATTTGTTGCCTTCCTCTATGAGACATGCGATTTGCTATAACAATGAACATATATAAAACAATTCTTCTGATTATTCTAATTACTTCAGCTGATGAAACGGCGAGAACTGAAAGACCATCGACCATGGGACCAAGAATTTTATGTTCACGAACTTTCAAATGCTTATTGGACCTAAAAAAATATTTTATTAAAGAGATTAAGTTTCATTGTTCATCTTACTTTTTTGGATCTAACAAGTCTCGAACTCTTTCATTATAAATTTCCATATATGATACTTCTACTTTATATTGATGAGTTTCACATGAAGTTACTTCTATTTGTCTAAAGACTTCATTGCATAAACGAGGAATGATTCCCGGTTGATCAGCTGTTCCCATCATTGAATATGATTTTCCAGAACCTTAAACATCATTCACGTTATATGACGCATTTCATTTTGTAAGAAGAAGGTTCTACTCTCTCTTCTTCAATCGTACATACCCGTTTGTCCGTAAGCAAAAATGCATGCATTATATCCCTCAAATGCATTTTCCAGTACTCCAGTTCCCAAATGTTGGAAAACTTCTTCTTGACCTACAAATTTGTTAATTAATTTTGTCAAAACAATTACCGAAGTATAACTCACTTGCATAATTAGGTGCATCTGATTCTTGTGAATAAAATGAGTGATCAAAGGCGAATGTCTTTAGCTGCTTACTGAAATAAACCTGCTAGTTATCTAATCAATAAGTGAAACGTACTCATCTGAAGACGGCTCTAATATAGTCTGTCCATGGTTCATGCGAACAACACTTTTAGTTTTGAGATCGATTTCTGTAATAATAAAAATAAGTTATCGTCTTCCACTTTCCTTCGAAGCAGCAGTTCCATTCGTTGTGAATGTTGACAAAAGTCAAATCATTGATTCAATTTTAAGCAGCATCAACTATTATTCTTAAAATGTTAAAGTATTATTTAGAATTGATGACGCCATTAATTCCTAATTGAAGTAGATAGACAAACATCTAGCAGAGTCAAGAGAAGCATCCGTTTATGGATGAGAGTTTGTCATGAAACTATCTTTGACAACATCAAAAGACAAAAACGAATTTCTTCATCGTTCACATCACAACTTCACAATCCATTCACTTCTTTTTCTATTTTTAATTAGTTCAAAATCATCAAATAATCTCCATAGGAAATTAGAAAAGGGTGATTCTCGAACATTGAGATCAAAAAAGGAAAACCCTTCTCAAGATTTCCTAACAGCTCTTTCTTCTCATTTTCAGCTTCCGTTCGGAGGTATCAGAGTCGTCTTACTTCCAAACTCGATTAGTTGAAAGGAGGAACCGCACAAACTCATTTTCACTCAAACAAATGCAAAACTCAATAGATTTTTCTAGAATTGATCTTAACCTCCGTAATCTGGCTTTATGGCTCACAAAAACAGAAGAGAGGGGGTGTGTATGAAGAAAAACTTGCACAAACCTCTTTTATTGAAGGGTCGTACCCTAACAGCCACTTTGACTTTGGAGCAATCATCGGCTGCTGTCATTCTCGGATGAATTAATGTCGAAAAATATTAAATACAATTAATCGAAGATTTGAAATCAGACGCTATCACCACATGAATAGATGAAACTGAAATGAAAAATGAATTAGAACAACAATCTGAGTTACAAGAGAAGTAGACGAAATGTGAGAAGACAGAAACAAATTATACAGAAAAAAAAAATTTCCTCTCTCGAGAGGCTATGGGTTCAAACAGCTGAAGCTTTTGCTCATTTTCAAAACAAGAAAACAGCCCAAGCAAACTATGTTTGATGACATGGATCATTCGAAGGAGATAGCTTCCTCGTTTAATACACATAACATAGCCTCCTCTGAGTGAAAAAATGTTTTACAAGAAAAAAAAAGAATAATAAATAAATGAAGAACAAATAAGTAGAGAAGGAGGGTGAGAGAGAGATAGAGAAAGAGAGAGAAAAGACAAAAACAGGATAATAAACCTTTGTGTGGGATATCTTTTGGAATATTTGGAAGACGAACAAGAGCAGAGAGACAAGTAATAGATTAACACACACACACACATACACACATACACACAAACGCATTCAGTTTTTCATGAAAAGTTGAGTTCGAAGAGAAGGCTGGAAGGAAAGGGTGAAGAGAGAGAAAGAGAGAGAGAGGATGAAAGACAAAGGATGATTTAAAATAAAAATAAATTAAAATAAAACATTACGAGATGTGAAAAAATAAAGCTAAAAATGGAATTAAAGTGGAAAGAAAAATTGGGAAAAGGAATCAACATCTGAGAATGGAAAATGGTTTAAGGAACGGAAATTGAAAGGCGAGAAGAGCGAGGCGCACTTCTAAGTATTCGAACAGGAAAAACGAGAAAAAAAAAGATGAATTACATTAGATGAATAGAATTAAAGCTGCCAAAAGAAAAAAAATATATTTAGTCAAGTGTTATCGTAAAGAAAGAATCCTACTCCTTCTTCTACTTGTGCTCAACAAACTTGTCAGACTGACAGCCAGGTTTTACATAATTTTTTTGATTATTTCAACCAAGACACGGAAAATGGGATGAAAAGCATTTTCCTCCCAGCCATGTTTTGCATAACGTGGTAGAGGAAAAGCTGAAAAGGAAGACAGGCGAGAGGACGAACGGGTAAGGAAGACGAGAGCACGGGATAGGTGAGGGCGAGAATGGACTTTTACAGTTTATTTATGAGACGAAATCAAACAAATGGTTAGTTCAGTGCATTGAGTTGTCAAGAATTCTAGAACATCATGAGGAGAAGAAGCAGATCTCATTGTGAATAGATGACTTTTGCAAAAAAGACATTATTAGTATAAAAGAGAAGAAAAAAACGAATAAAAGGGGTGATGAACTTGTAGGAGGGAAGGAAGGAGGGAGCGAGGGAGGGAGACAGATGAAGATGAAGGATAGATCTCACAGATGGATTCGAATAATGAAAGTCATAATGCTTGTTCTTGTGCGGTCGTATTTTCTTTTTTTCGTACAAAAAGGCGAATGCAAATGGAATTTGTTGGTTGCATGTTGAAATGCTAATTTCAAAGGAAACAAAAAATTATATATTTATATATAAAGAAAGAAGATTTGAGAAATTGAATTAGAATTCAAGAAAGAAAGTGCTTTGTGGGAACAAAATAACAGAAATATGAGTCAGTGTTCATTTGGCGGATACTCTTTCTGAATGACTCTATATGCACATGAAAAAGACCAAAAAGACAAGCAATCGAAAAGACAAATATGCAGATGAGACCTTTGGTTGTTTGAAAAAAATTATTTTCATTTACGAAAATTAAACCACAAAGGTCAATGATAAGATTATGGACATTGAGCGTTATAGAAATAGAAATGATGAATAACAAGCGACAACGACTAGACGTGAGGATAGAAACGAGTATACAGTTCCCATAAAAGGAATATGATGTTTCGAGAGAATATGATTGCAAGTTGCATGAGTTAATAGAAATATGATCAAATAGATAGTTACTGATCTATCTTATACTAACTATTACATAACGATTAACACATAAGTTAGTCATCATAACATTACGTGTTTGATAACATATGTCAATTCTCAAAATAATGACTCGAAAAACATAGGAAGACAGTGTGCATGTGTGTTTGCTCAAGAACTAACTTGAGTAAAATCGTTCAGAGCGATCGTCTGATTCTCTCAAATAACAACATGTAAGCTTAAGAAGACGAAAAGCATTAGAATACATATTGTAGGCAAAAAAAAGAAAAAACTAAGGCATTTCCGTGCGTGTATGTGTATTACCAGAAGAAAATAAAAGATTTACTTCTAAAGATGCGAGAAAACTAATAAGACAAATGTTTTTGCTTCTTCTCAAGGCTCACAATTTCAGAATGAGAAAGGAGGAGAAGACAGAATCTATATGAAGACGTGAAGATGGCAGAAGAGTTTATGGCAGCAGAGAAGGACGCCGACGAATCGGTCCAAAAAGTTTTTGATCAGCCACATTTTTAATTTAATACGGCAGAACAGACAGAGAGCACGGAGACGAACCAAAAACATTGAGCTTCATATAGAAGATGAACTAATTATAAAAAAGGAGAAATGAGAAAACAAAAGAAAATCGAAAAGAGCAAAGGGTCGAGTCAACTGATGAACTTCCCGTTAAATCAAAATGAAAACATTGAATTAGAAAAAAATAAACTTATTAGACGAACTAGTGAACAACATGCTGATGATGACCATAAAAAGAGAAAAAAAGTCGAAAACAACAAGAAACAGCTGAGAAATTTCACAAACGTCATTAAACAATGTTGAGTACTGAGTGACAAGCTGGGAAGAGTATTAGGAAGGTTAAACTACAGGACAGAAAGTGCTCACAACAACTTTTTTTCTTTTTTCCCCAAATTGATGACCAAACACCAAAATATAAAAGAAAAGTCAGACAAATGAAATTCGTTCGTAAACCGACAAGAAAACGATATAGCCACAAGAGAACTGAGGTCGAATACCATAAAAAGCATCTATGATTAGCTCTTATTCTAAATGCGCTGCACAAGGAAGAAATGAGGAAAGAGGAGGAGAACGAACGAACGAAATGAAAAAATATGATTTGCAACATGGCTCAGAAACAAGAAGACCAAGTAATAAAAGAGAATACAAGAAAAAGACATCATATCAAAGTGACTAGATGCTAACAGGTGAAGCAGTGATATGTTTTGATAAGCTCGCGAACAAAGAAATAGCAATAGGAGGTTTCTCCAATATGGCGACTCACATTGACCTCTTTCACAATTATGGAGCAAACAGCTTTGATGCTATGATTCACATAAGAAGACAGTCCAATATGACAATCTGGCTATCAAAATCGAATCAAAACCTCTTGAAATATGATTGAGTTAAGAAAGAGTAACAGAAAATGGATTAGAAGGCAACATAAAGTTGTTTTCTGTTTCCGATTGACAAAAAAAATATTTTCGTCTTCATTCCACTCACATGTAAACTCAGACCAAGAGTTCAAAGCGCTGAAAATTAAAGGAAAAATATTTTTCTTTTGTCGCAAAGGAAATCCGTAGTCTAAGTTCTAATTAGAGCAACTAAGTATCGGGTTGAATAATGTATGGACGGCTTCTCCTTAGCGCACAGTGACAAGCAACAGCATGATGAAACAATGAAGAGAAGCGAGTATGATGACCCCAACAAGGCAGAATCTCAAATCAAACACCAAAATAATCTTAAACATGCCTCATGTATTATTAAGATTTCTATGAAAAAATCAGTGAAATGCTAGCTATTGTTAGTTAGGAAACTTATTCCGATTCAAATAACACATTGTCTTCTCTCGCTCAGACTTGGAAATCCATAAAAGAATACAAACTCATTTCTAGGACGGATATTGAGAAGCGATAAATAGAAAAAGAAGAGAAAAGAGGTAGAGATGTGTGAATAAGGAAAAGGAAGAGAAAAAGAATAAACTCTTTAGGCTTTTCTCTTGTCATTTTCAATTTCAGTTGAATTGAAGCTACTTTGGTTTATCCTCTATCTAAGCTATAGCACACTCACTTTCATCATTCCCCTCCCTCCTCCTCCTCCCCTTTCCATCATCATCATCATCATCATCTTCATCATATTCATTCCAAACAGTTTAAACTTCTTAATCTCTAATATTACAAGGATAAACATGTGTTTGAATCAAAAATGTTGAAAATTAATTTTCAGTTTAAACATCAAAAGAAACAAATGATGTGAACGACTGATTGGAAGTCAATTATCAACGAAGAGATAACAGAATATGGATTGAGACTCGAAATAATTCAATTATGAATAGTTTCAACAGAGAATAGAGGGGGGGGGGCAAAGTGCTAATATTTGAAGCTTATAACCAAATGTACCTACAAATACAATAACTCTCAAGAGCATTGTCATCAAAAACGATGAGTGGATATGAGCTTGTTCGCTGTCACCAGACCACCCTCTACCCCATACCAATTGGCGGTCGTCAGTCCATTTCTGCTCTCTCCATCACACCCCCGTCCAAAAAGGATACCTTAGGGTATGTTTTTTGAAAGCGACACAGCAAACAGGTTAAGATATATAAATCAAAAATAGTAAAAAGAAAAGAGATATCTCTTTACATATTTTGTTATTCTATATGTAATTTATAACTAAAGATATAGTATATACATGGCTAAGATATGACTCTCTAGAAGGGCATCATCAACATGAAAAGACGACACATGATCCTCTCATACTTTACGTGAATATTTGAAGAAGAAAGAGAATGAAATAATAAAAAGCAAAGGAAAAGAACCTCAACCATCATAATGAATTGGGAGATGACGGACCAACTCCCAATCATGCTATATCTATCCATATGTGCGATACTTTTCCATTACTTTTGTTCAAATCAATAAAATCAATTGACCGTCGTCTAATCGCTTACTATGTATGAGACAAGGCAAAGGAGAGGGAGAGGGAGGAGATGGGGAATGCAGGACTCCAAAAAAAGACTTTTCTTTCACAATTCTCTTCTTCGCCTTTC